TATTAACTATTTTATTTTATTTATTTTTGTAATTTCAAAACAAATAATTTTAATGTAATTGTATTATTAATTAAACAAGAAATTTTTTTTTAAAAAAATAAGATATATTATTTTTTATTGAAAAATACATATGTATTAAATTTACTGCTAATATGTTATTTATTATAAAAAATAGTCTTAATTATCATAAATATAACAGCCATTAAATAAAATTTTATGTAATTTTTATTTACTATGATTTCATTTGTTTAATATTTAACTATAAATTTACTAATAAATTATTAATATTTTTCAAAATATATAAAAAATATTTTCAATTAAATTATTTTGTTAGATAAACAAAACATCAACAATAAATAAATAAATAAATTAAATGATATTATAAGTATTATTATTTAATTATATAAAACTAAACAAAAAATAATATTAAAAACTAAACTAAAAAACTTACTTTAATTATCTCCCAATCAATGATCGGACTCATCGGTAAAGTTATATTCAAACAAACAATATATGAGTCGTGCGGTCTCTCTATCTCTCTGAGTGTCTAACTTTCCACTAAATTGATGACAATTGTTGACATTTTTTGTCGATAATATATGCACTGCACTGTAAAATCAGTTAATAAATCATTTAAATTATACAAATTTTTTATTATAATAGCTGTGTCTGTGTTATTAGTATTATTAATAATCATTACACTATTACAGGTATTATCATTATCGCACTCACTATAATCATTACACATAATAATAGTTTAATAATTAACTAATATGTTATGAATTCAATGTTTTTATAAACTTTTTTTGTTATCAATAAGTCATTAGTTGTTTGTCATTCAATTGATTCAATCATCACTTTTGTTATTGTCATCAAAAAAACTGATTAATATTCATAATTGTCTTAATTATTATTAAACATTTGAAAACTGTTTGTATCACTGATTGAATTTCAAAATAACTCTATTAAGCTAATTATTATTATTATTACAACAAATTAAATCATATCGTTTAAAATATTGATTTTTATTTATTTATTTATTGTTTTAATTTAGTCATAAAATAAACTTTTATACAAAAATATTACATTTATTCATACATAATATACGAATATTTTTTTATTTTTTTAAAATTTATTAATAGTAATTTATTTTAAGTTATTTAAAAAAAATTATAAAACAATTGTTAATTTAAAATTTAATACATTTATTTAATACATATCTGTTAACAAATAATCTCTCTCTCTCTCTCTCTCTCTCTCTATGGGGCCTCGGTGGCCGAAAGGCTAAGTTGTCGGCTTTCGAGTACGACAACCCGAGATCGATACCCGTTTGGGCCACCTAAGTTTGTTGGGATTTTTAACGCGAGGAAACAGATAATATGTGTACGAAGAACTGTCCACATATATAATGCTGTCCTATCGTTAATAGGGGTACTCCTCTAACTACTGCACTCTCGGCGGTTATGAGTGCTATACACAGTATAACCAACAATACTGGAGAGAAACATAGTTAAAGGGTTCTCAAAACCCCGTGCATGCAATCATTGTAAAAACGGGGGATACAAATCCTGGATATTGTCTCTCTCTCTCTCTTTCTCTCTCTCTCTCTCTCTCTCTCTCTCTCTCTCTCTCTCTCTCTCTCTCTATTATTATTATTTGCAGATAATAAATGTTTCAACAAAAATGATAATAAAACCGGACTTTAAGTTTCATATTTTTCATGGTATCCATTATTTGATCAAACAATATTTTTATATAAAATATATAATAAGGCATATAATATAATAAGGTAAAATATAAAATAAATAGTAATGTTTTGTATTAATATTAGATATTTGTGTTATTATTGTTTTTGTTGGAAAATTATAATATACAGTAAATGCTGAAAAAAAATATTGCTTTGTTTGACTCTGTATTTAATAATAATTATTATTATATAAGTATAATATCTAAAGTTAAAAGTTATTTAATTTAAAAAATATTTATATAAAAATTAATACTAACAATATTAATATATAAATAAAATAATAAATTTTAATAATTAAAATAATTAAATATAGAGTATAATAAATATTAAGATTATTATTATTATATTCTATTACTAATATTTATTAAATAAAAATAAGATTACTATAAAAGTATAATAACAATACTAATATTAAACAAATAAAATTAAATGTTAGAAAAAAAATTAATAACTAAACAATTGATATTACATTACATTAATTTATTAGTCACTTATTTTAAATACAATAATAATGTTAATAATCATGTGTTTATATCAAAATTTCAATAGGTTTTTAATTAAGCATAATTAAATATTAATAAACTAACAAAATTAAATACATGTTTTATTTGAAAATTTATTTAAGTGTTAAATTTCAACAACAAATAAAATAATAATATCAATTTATAATTTATTTAATTATTATTTAATATATTATAATAATTTTTTAGTTTACTATTTGATGAACTAAATACTTATGATATCTAAGCATATTATTTCTGCCAAAACATTTATTACAATCATTGACATCACATTTAAATGGTTTAATACCCGAATGTATTTGTTGATGAATTTGAAATTTTGATTTCATATTAAATTGTTTGCCACAGTTATCGACATCACATTTGAATAGATTTTTTCGACTATAATGACTATTAGTTCGATGATGACATAAACCGCTTGAATTATAAAACATTTTATTGCAGTTTTCATAATCGCAACGATATTTCGGTTCAATTGAATGATCTCTGGATAGGTGTTGTCGTAAACAATGATTTGTTGTAAATGTTTTCAAACAATTATCTATTGAACACTTAAATTGTTGTTTTGTCTGTAAATGACTTATTTTGTGTTTACTATAATCTTGTTTAGTTGAAAATGTTTTATCACAATAATCGACATCACATTTAAATTGTTTTTGTTTTAAATGTATGTTCAGTTTATGGGCTCTCAAAAAATTTTTCTGTCTAAACAATTGATTACAATTTTCATAATCACATTTAAACTTTTCATTAAAATGAATGTTAGATTTATGTTGAATTAATGATGTTTTATATTTGAAACATTTACCACAATCGTTGACATTGCAAACATATTTAGTATTTAAATGTTTTGAATTTTTATGATAAAACAATTTCGATGATGTTTTAAATGTTTGATTACAATTATTAACTAAACATTTATATTTTTTTCAAGTGTATGAATTGTTTGATGATTACATAAATATTGTTTAGTATAAGTATTGAACCGACATTTTAGGCCAAAAACACTTGAATCGTATATTATTATTGTTGTTATAACAGTCACTATAATCATCAGTGATTTTCATTGAAATACAATCATTAGTTTTTTGGATATTCATTGAATTCAAGCAATCAATTGATTCAAACAAAACATTATTAGTATTTTCAGTCAAACTATTTAATTCATAATCAATACTATTGTCTAATGATTTCAATACACATAATTTATTCAATAGATATTTAATATTATTAATTTTATAACTTATTAACTTCATAATTAATTAATATAATTTAATATTAAAATAATTCAAAACAATACACATACACAATGATTACTAATAATAACTATAATACAGTTAATACTACTAATAAATATTTATATATATTTTTGGCTCTTATATATTGTATTTCATTAGCAATGGATATCATATATCAATATATAACTAATAATAATAAAAATTATAATATAATGTAATACTTTTTTTGCAGCATTTACTGTATATTCTAATTTTCAAACAAAACAATGATAACAAATAATAGCTAATATAAATACAAAACATTACTATTTCTATTGTTTTTATTGCCTTTTATATTGTTTGTTCAAATAATGGATACTAAGAAAAATATGAAACTTAAAGTCCGGTTTTATTATCATTTTTTGTTATCTGCAAATAATAATAATAGAGAGAGAGAGAGAGAGAGAGAGAGAGAGAGAGAGAGAGAGAGAGAGAGAGAGAGAGAGAGAGAGAGAGAGAGAGAGAGAGAGAGAGAGAGAGAGAGAGAGAGAGTAAAATAAAGATTAAATGCAATAAATTATAGACTCTATAGTACAGTATATTAAATGTGTTTATCTATCAATCAAATAATATATTATTAATATTTATAAAACAAGTAGACATAAAATTTTTATAATAAAATCTTAATTTATAAAATCTAACAAATATTTTTTAAAAATATAAGTTGAAAATATTGTTTTGATTGATTATTTTATTAATTATTATTTTTGAAATATTGACATTTTGTATAATTATTATTATATGATTAAAGTTAATTTAAATAATAAAAACAAAAACAAAATTATTGTTATTTGCCAATTAAAACAAATTAAGTTATATGTGCATTCAATTTAATTTTTTAATAAGTTTTAATTAACAAAAATTAATTATTACTTATAATAAGTTTTAATTAAATTATTTTAACTATAAGGTGTGATAATCCATTCTCTTTATATATATATATATATATAATAAAAATAATTATTAATACTATTAAACTATAGCTAAATTAATTTTTTACAGTTTTTATTTGATTATTATTTGATATATAATTAAACATTACAAAATTTAGTTTATAATCTATTTTAATTATAAAAAATACTAAAAAATTATTTAATTGTTTACATTAATTATAGCTTTATGTTTTTAATGTTATCTTTTATTTGCTAATTAAGTTTTTATGATTAATACAATATTTTTATATTAACAATAAATCTAACTATAATAATATTACTATATTTTATTCAATAATTTATAATTTATATAAAAAAAAATCTATAGCAAATAAATATTATAATTTTGTTTAGTTTTATAATATTTTATTTTAAAAACTAAATGATTTTAATAATAATATATTGATATATAATGTTAAAAAACAATTTATACAATAAATATTAATTAAATTTAAGAGTAATTGAATAAAACATTAGTAAATAGTATGGATTTATCGGCAATCAGTTTCATTGATTGGCAAACATTTTCCCTGTGAATCAATACAACACTAATACCCGATTGTTTGGCCAAATCAAGTGCTGACCCGAAATCCTGGTCACCAGTTATGACAACCAAAATGGTTTTACTTGTCTCTGGATTTTTTCTTGGCTGTTCAATGAATCGCCTGATCCGATAGTATAGCTCAAAATCGGCTGCATTACGATAGACAGCACCTGTAGGTATGAGAACTACATGCACGCCGGCAGCTTGGAGTTCAGGCACATGTTGTTGTCCAATGTCCTGAAATTTGCCCACACAGTCAAACACTGTACTATCGGGTAGTTTCGGGTAGCCATACACTTGACTTATATATTTGCGGACACACCTACAAACATTGGCCGGTGCCCATCGATGAGGTATTTGACAATTTTCAATATCCCAATAGATACCGATCCGGGGTTCATAGGGTTGGATAAAACATTTATAATATAATTGTTTCAATTGATTAGAAATCCATTTAATTAATTCAATTATTGCACCGATTATTAATAATATTATAAATATTATAACTATTGTTACTATAATTTCGAAAAACATTATTTAAATTATTAATATGATTTTATTTATATATTATTAGTAAAATATTAATTTATATAATTATTATTATTATTATTATTATTATTTAAATATATTGATCAACAACTTTAATTCAATGTTAATGTTATACACAAAATAAAAATATTAATCAGATATTTTTTAAAATAAATTAATTTATATGAAATAATATAATTGATATACGACTTACAATATACAGTAATATTATTATTATTATTTTATTGTACATTAAATATAAATATAATTATAATTTATAACAAAAATTTAAATAATCTCTCGTTTTATTTGCTGATATAAACTTATATTTATAGATTAGATATTATAATAATATATTTTTTTTTGTATAAACACTTGACTATTGATTATATTATTTTAATACATTAAATATAATGTTGAATTATTTGATTTTAAATTATTATTAAAATTATTAATAATAATTAATACAAACAAAATATATAATAAATATTTATATTTAAAGTATTAAACAATACAAATAATATTTATACATTATATTAACTTAAAATAATAAATAATTGATAAATTTGATTAAAAATATATTGTTTTCTTAATTATAGTTATTTCTATGTATTATTATTTTTTTAAAAAAATACCATTAAAACTAATTAAATTTCAAAAAATTATAATATATTATAATTACAGTATAATAATAATAATAACATCAAAAACTAATTCAATACATTGTAATAATAATTTAATCATTAGTACTAGTAATAAATTTTTCTATAAAAAGTAATATTTATCAAAATTAAAAAATATTAAGTTAAATTTATATAAAATAAAATCTAATTAAACTTCAAATCATCATTAAATTAATTAATGTAATACTAGCGCTATGTTATCTGATTTTTTAATCGTAAAAATTTTTATTATCTAATAATAATATTATTATTTATTAAAATGTTACTATTTGTAATAAATTTTAATTAGTATTAATAATAATATATTTTTTTGACACTTTATTTATTGACAATTTTTTAAAAATTATTTAACTTTAAAATAAATTATTCAAATGAAAACAATAATATAAATAAATCTAAATAAACTTAAAAGTAATTTAAATGTTATAGTATCTATATTTATTTTTGTAATAAAAATATTATTTATAAATAATATTTTAATTTTTTGTGATTATAATTATATTAATAATATTTAAATATCAATAACTATAAGTTATAAAACATTTTAATATTCATAAAACAGTTAGCAGTAGATAAAATATATTACTATTAAAGTATTATAATTAATAAATAAAAAAATTTAATTTATGTTTAAAACTAGATTTTTCTAAACATTTAGTATAAAACTGTATTAACAAACAGTTAATTGTTTAGAGTGTTTGTGTTTGTATTGTTTAAAACTGTAAAAATATATATTTATATAATCATAATATTAGGCATTTAATTAATTAATAAAATTATTGTATTAGTTATATACAGTAGAAGAATATTAATACTTTATTTTAATATATTTCTAAAAAAATATAATTTTTTACATAAATTATTCATTAAGTTTTTATATTATAATTTTAAAAAATCATAGTTATATAATTTTTTATTGATATATTTAGCTAGTTAAAAATAATTATAAAATTTATATTTGTATATTAGCTTTAATTAATTGCATTTATTTATACAAAAAGTGTATTAATAAATATTTGTAATACTATTATGTTTTAATTATAATGATTTAATTAATAATTTTTAGATTAACCTATAATAAATTTAATGTTTTATATGATATTATTTTTCACAGTTATTATTAGTATTATTATTAATATTTATAAATTATTATTATTGTTATTATTATAAATACAATACTATCATATTATAATATGTTTTTAATAATTTTGATTTTAAATAAACATAAGTTATACAATTATTGTATATTAATTTCTATATTAAAATTATATACTGAATATGCTGTATAAACTGTAATAACAAATATTTTAAATACATTAATAATTTAATTAAAATTAATTTAATAAAAAATATATTAGATCAAAAAAGTTAAACAATTTTTAATTTAATTATTTTTTCAGAGTATTTATTATAGAGTATTTACAAAATTTTTAATTAAAAAATTGTAATAAAAGGATAATACAGTATTTTAATTTATTATTAAGATTTAGTTTTTTAAAATTAGTATTATATATACGGTATATATATAATAATAATAATTTGATTTAATAATAATATTTTTTCAATTATTTATTTTCAAAAGTTATTATTAAAAAAAGTATTTAGTTGTTTATTAATAAACTTATAATTATTAGTATTAGTATTATTAGTAACGTTTTATACTTAAATTAATTACTGTATTCATTAAAAATATTTAAATAATTATTATAAGTAAAAATCACAATATTATCTATCATTTTTTTATTGGCATATTTAGATTGATTTTAATAAAAACTGTAATAACAAACTCATGTTAAATACACTAATAATTTATTTAATTTAATTATATTAGATATGTAGCGATTTTACTTATATTATTTTATTTCAATTTATAATCTATTTATTATTTATAATTACAGATTTTTATATTTTATATAAAAATTTATTATACACTATATTTATTAGTATATATTATATTAGATATATAATTAAAATTAAAATATATTAAACACAAATATAACAAACAAAAATATATATTATTCATTATAAGAAAAATGTTAGTCAAGTATTATTTAATTAATTGCAAAATTATAAAAAATAATAATTAATAACTATTAGATACTATAATTTAGATATTTTTTGAAATAAAATTTTTTGCCTAAATTATGCTAGCTAATTTATTTAATTTATAACAGTTATATAAATAGTTTATTATAATAATATTCAAATATGATAATAATAATATAGTTATTTATTTTAATGTATTTATTTATAAAAACTTATTATTATTTGTAAAATTATTTGTTGTTTGTTTTTTATAATTAATTTATATATGATTTTTTATGGCAAATTAAATCAAATTATTGAAATTAATACTAACTTTTTAAAATTTATATATATTTTTATTAGTAAAATTAATGATAGTTTATTAAAACTGCATAATAAAGTATACATTTTATGATTTGAATTTTTATTAGTAATAATTAGCAAATAAACTAATATTTAATAAATTAGTATTCATTTAATTGCATTAAATCGCAATCATTGACATCACATATTTAAATGGCTTTATATATCCAAATATTTAGTGCGTTTGTGTCGTTGCAAACAAATTAAAGTAAAATATATTTTTTTCTACAATTTTTATAATCGCATCGAAAATTTGTGTTCAATTCAATGATCTCTTGATATATGTTGTCGTAAACAATGATTTGTTGTAAATGTTTTCAAACATTTGTTGTTAACTGAACAATGAAATCGTGGTTCAGATAAATGTATTAATTTGTGTTTATTATAATTACTTTTAGATGAAAATTTTTTGCCGCAATACTCGACATCACATCGAAATGGTTTATGTTTTAAATAAATTATCATTTTATGTCTTTTTAAATGATATAATTGTGTGTATAATTTGTTGCAATTTTCGTAATTACATTTAAACTTTTTATTTAAATGAACGCTAGATTTATGTCGATATAACAGTGATTTTACTGTAAAATATTTCTCACAATCGTTGACATCGCAAAAATATTTATTTTTTAAATGTTTAGCTTTTTATGATAATATAAAGCCGTATGATATTTAAATATTTTATCACAATAATTACATTTGAATTTTGATAAATACAATTAATATATATTTTATTTATGCTTTAAATATATATTAATTGAATAAATTTAATAAGTTTTTATGGTCAGTGGTAAAAACTTCATAATAAATTATACATTTAAATTTTGAATTATTATTAGTAATAATCAGCAAATAAACTATGATGTATACTATAAAATGTCGATATAAAGCATATAATGAAAATAATTTATTTATACATCGATTAATGCATTCATCTATAAAACTGTTTGAATGTAATAAATGTAATAAAACATTCAAAACTAAATCAAATTTAGATTATCATAAAAGATCTAAACATTTAAATGTTAAATATGTTTGCGATTACAACGATTGTCGCAAATGTTTTACTAGAAATTCACTTTTAAATCAACATAAATCTAGCGTTCATTTTAATAAAAATATTAAAAGCACATGAAATTCAATTTCATTTAAAACCAAAATTATTTAAATGTTATGTTGAATATTGTAATAAAACATTTGCAGCTAAAAGCTGTTATAAAAAACATAAATTAACTCATTTGAAGAAAAAACAATTCAAGTGTTCAGTTAACGAGTGTATGATTTGAATTTATTATTAGTAATAATTAGCAAATAAACTAATATTTAATAACTTATCACTCATTTAATTCATATGCAATTTAATCTTTATTAATAGAATAATTTAAAAATAAATATATTTTTTAAAAACAATCTTTTTTTGTAAAACAATTACAATATAATTAATGGTTTTTTTTCAAATTACAAAAAATAATTTAAATAAAATAATTAATGACAATATTTTTTTAATGATAATTAAGACTCTATTTTCTGTTTAAAATATTTATCGCAATCATTAACATCACAACATTTAAATTGCTTTATATATCCAAATGTTTATTATGTTTGTGTTGTTGCAAACCTTTTGATGTAAAATATATT